GAACTCTCCACTAAACAAGGAACTGAATGATACTAAACTTACTAAGTTTTGGTGCAGAAATGGAAGCTGGTTTTTCCTCCTTATATAGGAAAATGGAGAAGGAAGAAGACAATCCTGTAGCTAGTTCTGCGTAGGAAATGACTCACGATCGGCTGAGTGGAGGAAGGGGCGCCGTCTGCACAGTCTCCCTGATTGGGACCAATTTTGGTTCCAGTTGGGGTACACTTTTTGGTCAAACTTTCTCCAAATTGAAATCCGTTTGCACCGTTGCGATCAGACAGTCGAATTCTATTCAACGACATACTTTTCATAATTATTTGTAATACTTTTTCTGACATCATATTTTTGGGTGGTTGACTTTGATAGAGTAAAAATTGGTTTAATTGACTTTTCTCATAAAAGGTTCTCATATTTAATTCATATCAATTATTCTCATGATTTATTTTAACAAATCATTTAAATATTTACATTATAAACAAATTTTTCATTTACTCTTGATTTGGGTCTGTACTCAGGTTTCCAATCAAGACCACACAAAAAGTCAATATATTGGATTTATCTCTATGAGATTTATCTAGAGTGCGATAATAGATATCAAAACATATTTCGTATCGGCCCAAAGCCCAACAACAATTTATTTTAATCAAAACAAATTTGTTTAAACGAATAATTATTTAATAATAATTCTAGGGTATGTTTCGGGGCGTTACACGGCCTTAGTCTCACGAGGGAGACTAGAAAAATAGGGGTGGTACTCGAAAGCTTGAATACCATGTATGTACACTAAGCCCGAACTGTGATGCCGGACTAGTAAGTCCCGCACAGTCACGCTATAAGAGACGCACTAGGCATGATCTCTTACGCATGCATATGATGTGATATGCTACAACATGTATGATGATATGAGTTGTATGATATGAACAATTTGTAAACAATATGAATATGTAATCATACATTATTTTATTTGGGTAAAACATGTTAAAAATATCATTTAATTAAGCTACGGGACTCGGAACGGTTGACCGTTTAGCTCGACGGTCGACCTTGAACTTCATCGTGTCAGATTGCTGGTTTACCGTGACGGTCGACCGCGGTTGACCGGCGGTCGACCGTTGTTGACTGGATGGCGACAGGCGACCGTTGGTCATCGGCGGTCGACCGTTATTGACTAGATGGCGACGGCGGTTCTTGGCTAGGCAGGCGACGGTCGACCGTTGGTCACCGGCGGTCGACCGTTTGTCTGACAATCGCGCTCCGTTTCGATGTTTAACGCGACGGTTGACCGTTTACGTCGACGGTTCGGGTCTGCGAATCTTATTTTTGATATTTTTGGATATCTAAAATACTTCTTTGAGATATTTTAACATCTATGATTAACATATCTATGTATTTGAAGTATTTCTAACACTTATATATATATATTCATTAGGGGCAAAGTATTAAGAAAAACATATTTTAAGTTTATGGGTTTGATCTTAAAACATAAATGACTTATAATATGGCAATCAATCCTAACGATATATCTAGATTGATATTCAACCAAGGATTGCGTTACTAGGGTGCGGTGTACTCGCCTTGATTTCGTAGAGGTCGGAAATGATGGAAAGAAAATAATACGCCTCAACGAACGTTCAACGTACGGTCACCCCTATCAACTTCAAGCTTCCGACACCCAATCTTCTTCGAAATAATCTCTGGAAGTTCCTAATAACCACGAGAGAGTTGACGGTAAGTATTTCGAAGAAACGATGTGAAAATGATGAAGAAACATGGCCAACTCGAGGAGCTCGCTGTTGGACATGAGTTCAAACCCCTTTTTCTATTTCTTCTGGAATATTTTTTTGTTTCGATGAATGACAAACAGGATGATTAATTTCAAGCTGATCGAAAATTTATTTTCGTATCAAGAAAAGCAAAGAAGGGTATCAAGAAGTTTACGGCGATATAAATCGACGACCACCCCTACGCAGATTTTTTTGAAGTGAAGTGAAGACTCCGAAGATTTTTTTCAGTCTAGGAATATTTGTAAGGATGACAATATCTTCTGCACAAACAAATTAAATTTCTGAGGGATAAAATTATTATTTTTGAGTCAGTTGAAAAATTACTTTTCTTCTGTCTAAAATATTTTATTGAGTTAGTTTCAAAATAAGTGTGTCAAAATTTCTTAAAAACATTCTTTTAAGATTGCACTTTTTTTTGGTAAGAAAAATATACTCTAAATATTTTTCGTATACATCGTTTGACACACAAACTAATTTTTTGGACTCACTTTTTCTCCCCTATTCAAAATCATTGAATAAGGGATATTATTTTTGAGGAACGTTCTTGTTATTCTCGTTGTCTCAAACAACGAATATAAAGCCAATGCCCTTCTCATCGCACTTGGCTTGGGCCCTTCATGTTTACGCATTATTTTTCACTTTAATCGATTAATTTATCTAAAATAATCGATTAGATCCAATTTCTCAGCGCTGGATTCCTCAGGCCAATAGACTTAATTGATTAAATTTGTCCATTTAATCGATTAGTTTAAACAGAGCAGAATAATCGATTTTTCTCTCTTTTTAAATCGATTAATTCCACTTTTGGTTTCAAGCCTTTTCGCTTCTGTACACTTTAATCGATTAAAATTCCTAATTTAATCGATTAATTCTGTGTGGTGCATATCATCAGCTTTCTTCAACGGCTTTATTTTCCTCAGCCTATTTAATCCCTCATTCTCCTTCATTTCTATACACACCTCTTGCACTCCAATATATTCTTTGAGCTATATTCATCCTTTGCTTCATCTTCCTCATCAAAATATTATTTTTGAGAGTTAGAAATATTTTTTTTGAGTGCTAAAGAAGTTGTCATCCGTAGAGCTTAAATTCTTCAACACTACTTTGCTCAATTGTGTGAGCTTTCATTCTTGTGTTGTAAACTCAATCTCTTTTGAGTGTTGTTCTTAAGACTTGTGTGACTCAAGTCTTGTTGTTGTAAGAAAGTGAGGCTTGTGTGATTCAAGTTCTCAAGTTGTACCGGTTTTTCAAGCACCCGTTGAAGCTTAAAGATTAGTAGGACTTTCGAGAGAGTCTCTCGGAAGACTGGATTAGCCACAAGGTGGTGATCCAGTATAAATCTCGGTGTTCTTCTTTCCCTTACTCTCTTTATTTATTCCTACGATTCTATTATTTCACACACGCGAAAAAGGCACATTCTTGAGAACAACTCTATTCACACTCTAGAGTTGCACATTTGTCTTACAATTGGTATCGGAGCAGGAAGTTCTTCGAATACGTTATTTTTTCAGGAACTAAAAGATCAAATGGCATCAAGGATGTTCAACGCAGGAGTGACCGAGGGACAATCAACCACGAGGCCACCATTGTTCGATGGAACAAACTACTCGTATTGGAAGGAGAGGATGAGAATCTTTATCCAATCTAGCGACTACAAGCTATGGTTGATTGTGAAGAACGGCTGCGGAGTCCCTATGAAGAAAGTCGGTGAAGTCAACGTCCCCAAAACAGAAGAGGAGTTCACCGACAAAGATTGCAAAAAGATGGAGCTCAACGCAAAGGCAATAAAAATGATTTATTGCGGTGTTAACGCGGATGGCTACCGCAAAATCTCGCGGTGTGAAACCGCAAAACAAATGTGGGAGAAATTGGAGGTCACCTACGAAGGAACCGCATAGGTTCGGGAGGCCAAAATTGACCATCTCACTCAGGAGTATGAACTCTTTTCAATGAAGGAAAATGAGAAGATTGAGGAAATGTTTGAGAGATTCTCTAACATCATCAATCCCCTCAATCTTCTCGGGAAGACATACACCGACCGAGAGCTTGTGAGAAAGGTGCTGCGAAGCCTATCCCCCAAATGGCGTTCAAAGGTGGACGCAATCGAAGAAGGTCGTGACTTCCAAACAACGACCTATGATGCTCTTCGAGGTAATCTTATTACCTACGAAACCACCCAACTCCCAAAGGTGGTTGAAGAGAGGAACAAGAGGTCTATTGCTCTACCCGCAACAACATCAGCCCTCAACAACGTTGATGATGAAGATGATGACAGCGACGACACCGACCTCGGACTCTTTGTCCGAAAATTCAAGAAGATGATGCTCAAGAAGGGAGCCAAGAAGAACACTCCACCCAAATGCTATGGGTGTGGTGAAATTGGACACATCAAACCAATGTGCCCAAAGCTCAAGAACAAGAAGGACAAGAAGGCACCGAAGAAGCAGCGTGCCTACATTTCTTGGGAGAACGACGGCTCCGGGAGTGAAGACTCGGAAACTGAAGAAGTGGCCAACTTGTGTCTCATGGTCATTGAAGATGGTGATACATCAAAAGAGGTAAGTAATCAAGAGCCTTCTCCCAATGATCCTTTAACTCTTAATGATGTTGTTTGCATTGTAGAAGATTTGGTAAGAATATTCAAAAAGGCTTCCAAAGAAAACAATGAAGTAAAGCAAAAAATCCTGATTTTTGAGATTGAAATCAAAGAACTCAAAAATATAAATGATAAACTTAAACAAGAAATTATCTCTTTTGGAAAAAGGCCACAAGAACCTTCAACTACTTCTTCTTCTACATGCTCTAGTTTTACATCATTAAAAGCTAAGGTTGCTAGTTTAGAGAGCAAATTGGGAAAGTTCAATAATGCTTCAAACACCTTAGATAAAATACTTAAGCAAAAAATTAGTAATGGTGAAGGACTTGGATATAAGAAAAACCAACCTAGAAAAACAACATTTGTTAAAGCTAGGGGGAATAAAAATGCTAGGATTAATAATCAAACTAGAAAAGCACATCCTAGCAAACCTAGAACTCATTACACTCAACCATATAGGATGAATAATCCAAATGTTATTTGCCACTATTGCAATAAGATAGGTCACATTGCACCCGTGTGCTTCACCAAAATTAGGCATTTTCAACAAACGCACACACATCGCACATATGCTAACCAAAAAGGACCCAACAATACATGGGTACCTAAACC